AAGTAAGGAAACATAAAATTTTCATCTTCGGGTTAGCAATTGCCAGCAAACGACATTTATCCAATAGCAAATAGTTTACACATTTACCTTTAGAATGTAAGTTATGGATGTATATTTACTGATTTCTTCTTTAAAGCATCTTTAAAAAATCTTATGACCTTTTTGGCTAGATGAGCTAGGTGGTTTTTCCATAATAAATATATTGCTCATTAATATGCTATTGAATAGTTTGAACACCTACCTAAATTAATGCTATATATTTGTGTTTTAAAAAGAAGAATGTCCAAAAACCACTCTTCTGGACAATAAATCTCTGATATCGCAGTGTAAATAAAAATTAAAAGAGAAGTGGACAGCCGGATGGCTCAGTGAATAGAGTGTGCACTCTTAACAACAAGGTTGCCAGTTCAACTCCCATATGGGATGGTGGGCTGCCCTCCCCCCCACCGCGGCAACTGGTCTTGGAGCTGAGGTGCATCCTCCACAACTAAGACTGAAGGACAACAACTTGACTTGGAACTGATGGGTCTTGGAAACAACACATTGTTCCCCAATAAAGTTAAAAAAAAAACCAACTAAGATAAAAAAATAAAAAGCCTTAATTTAAAAAAAAATTAAAAGAGAAATAATATTTTGAAATTTAAATACTTGCTTTAGAATTACTTTCAAACATATACAGTGAATATAGAAAACTGAAGCTGTATTTTTTTTTCTTTTCAAGCTTTATTCGCCTAAATGACTACCTAATTGAGAACACGATGCACATCCTAACAGTAAATTCTGTTAACTCTCTTTTGAATTATCTCACTGAAAAGCTAAAACGAACACCTTCAGCGGATGTCATTCAGAAATGGATTACTGAAGAGAAGCCTGAAGTCACTGATAAAAAGGTACATTCAGACAAAATTAAGAAAATTCACTGGTGTAGCATTTATTGCATGCTTACTATGCAGTGTGCATTATGCTGTTTTCTGTGTATTGAAAAAAATAGGAGAAATGCTTAAAGGATTTCACAGTATAGTCAGAATCTACCATATGCAGATGAAATGGCAGAATGAAAATCAGCATACCAACAAATATCTAATAATAGAGAAAGCATCCATTGTGCTGAATGCTGCTGTGTCTCTCATAGGAATTTGCTAAAGGTTATTCATGTGTTCATTTGATAAATATTTCTTAAGTACCTACTCTATCATTGGGTGGACCAATCTCTACCTTAGGTACTGGGTATATAGTGATAAAAAGCATTGACAGGATCCTTTCCCCCAAGGAACTTATAGTTGGGGTCATCATGGGCAAGAACTGGCAAGGAGAAGCATGGGAGGGCGGTATAAATGAGACATAAGCAATGGTTTACAGGTGAGAAGAAGCAAATCATGGAAGCAAACCTTTGTGCTTTGAGTGGATAACCTCTTGGTATGAAGTTGATCTTAGAGACACAGAGTAATTTGATATGTTTAAGATGTAGTAGTACTAATTTGACTGTGTATTCTAGCATAACTAAGAAGGAAATCATATTATCTCATATCCATGTTTCCCAATAAGCTTTCCCCAACTCTATCCTGGATAATAATAGCTTCATGCCAGATACCTGAAAACACTGCAAAACATGCTTACCTGGTTTCATCAAGCTTCCTACCTCCACATCCCAACTTCCTCCCCAGGAAACCCAACTATGCAGTTTCAAGGATGGATGCTCTTTACTATAGTTTCCTTTTCTCCAAAAGTTGAATTTTAGTTGTATACTCCTTTTCATTACTTCCTCTCCACTCCTGTTTTCAAGTCTTCCTTTTTCTAAATACTATAACATTTTAAAAGTGA